GGGGTGGGCAGGCGGGCGGGGGAGGCGCTGCTGCCAGCCACTTGCCATGCGGGTCATGTCTGCGCGCCCAGCTCTGGAGGTGAGAGGTGTCGGCGCTAACCGCAGCCCATCAGTCCTCCCAGCTGGAACAAGGCAACGCGGGGAAGCAGAGCCGTGCTCCTGGCCAAATAAAAGCCTGTTTGTTGGCGCCTCCCTGGCTGCGCGCTCGGAAACAGAGGGCTGTGCGGGCGGACTGCCTCCATGCCATTATATTCTCGGCGCGCTCGCAGGGACCGCGGCCTGCCAGGCCCTGAAAGCTTCTCGATGCCGTGACCCCGCTGGCTCGTAAGGGCCGGGGAAGAAAAGGACACGGCGGGGGCTGGCTTTCCGCTTTCTCCCTCCCTGCCCCCCCCAGGCTCTGAGCTCCACTCCACCTGCCAGGGATGGGAGGGGAGGTGAGAGGGCAGATTCGGGGATGCTGGGCGGGGAGGGAGGCGGGGGCCGATTCTGTGCAAGACAGCCGTGTTCCTACCCTGGGCCTTTTCCGAAAGCACCTGCCTGGTGTCCAGGTCTCTGCCGAGTCAGGACAACTCTTCAAACGCCTTCCAAAGACCTGCTCTTTGCTGTTCAATTTCATGGGTGTTTCATAAGCATCAGAGTGGAAGGGAAAATATAACCCTGCCCTTATCCAGGGACAATGGGTAAAATGAAGGCTTCCACCTGGAGGTGGGGGGAGTATGGAGGGTTTAAAACTAAACCAACTTCTTTCGGGTGGCAATAGGGACCCCAGAGAGACAGAGAGCACCAGACTGGGCACCTGGCATGTTTTTTCCCCCTACAGTTGTGCTGAATGGCAAGACATGGGGAACCCTCCTCTTCGTCACTACAGTGCACTAACTGCCTACTACATCCTCACACAGGGCTATGCCACTGTGTACTAACAGCGCCTACTACGCACAGAGAGCTATGCACTGCAGATGGGAGATCCAGTGAGATCTAGAGTCGGATGCAAACACACTTGAGCACTGCCTGCCTGCGAGGCACATTCATGTTCTCTCTCTCTCTCACACACACACACACAATACACACACACGTTACTGTCCAGGCTTCTGAAAACCGGGACCCTCCTTTACGTCTCAGCCCTCTGCCAGAGCATCCTTCCTTGGCCTGGGCTGACCAGAGTGCAAGAACAGCAGGACTGTTCTTGGGCCCAGAGAAGGAGGCAGGACTAGTGTCTATGGCACCTTGCTGTGCATCAGGGGCTTCACAGGCCCGTCTTCCTCATGGCCCACGATCCTCCTAACGAGGAAGGCACCCCAGTCCCACTATACAGATGACAGAGCTGAGGCCGAGTGACGTGCCCATCAAAGAACAGGTATGGGGACACACACTGGGGTAAAACCTAAGGGACAGCGACATACCCCAATACAAAAACTTGGTCCAGCAGGACAGCTAGGAGCCCAGGTCCGACTTCTGACTCGGCCGCCAGTAGTTGGGTGCCCTCAGCAAAGTTACCTGCCCTCTCTGTGCCTCAGTTTCCTCATCTTTGAAACAGGATAATGACAGTATTTATCTCCTAGGATTCTGCAGGATTAACACCTGTGAAAGGCTGTAGCTAGTACCTGGCACTGGGTAAGGCTTAAAAGATGAAGGTTGATACGGTAACAGTAATAATAATAATAACAACAACAACGTGTCACCTAGTCTGAGCTGCACACTCAGCTGTCTGTCCACCGTGACCTAGGCTCACCAAGGACCTGAGGGAGGAGAGAGAGGCTGGTCACCAGGGCTGAGCCCCAGGTTACCATTTAGTGGCTGGTCGGCTGGGGAGGCTGAGCCCTGGGTGCAGGGGTGAACTTTGGGTAACTACGCTGACTGCATGGGCCACAGTGAGGGCTTTAGCTGGGGCCACCTCCCATGGTCCCAGAGGGCAGCTTGGAGGCCACGGTGTCACCAGCAAGCTTCCTGCTGGGCCCCGCCGAATGGTTAAGACGCCAGCCTTTCATTCCAAGGCCCACATTCCACAGGGAGCCCTTTGTGGTGGCCGCAGGGCTCAGGCTGGGCAAATGGGACTCGCAGCCTCCACCTGAGACCTGAGTGCCTTCCTGGCAGCACTCAGGGCTGGGGGCAGGAACTGGGCACGGCTCCCACCTGCCCCGCATCTGCCAGGGCCCTGGAGGCTCTGAACAATGCAGATTTCGAAACAAATGAGCCGGGCACTTTCGCCATGGGGAAGGGGCAGAGTGGGGTGGGGGGGAGAAGGGTCCAGCCAGGAGGGCAGGAGGCCAGCAGCCCTATTTTGAACATTCAAGGCTGCTGTGGGCACCTCCTGTTGCCTGAAGAAATTAAACAGACAAAGGTGTGGGTGAGAGAGAGGGGCTGACCTTCCCAAGCACCTGTAACCCCCCCCCCCCC